AGATAGATAGATAGATAGATAGATAGATAGATAGATAGATAGATAGAGTTACGATGAAGTCAGGTGAACTCTCGTGGTGCCTTCACGTTACCTTCAATAGCTGTTCTGCATATTTCACTTAGAGAAAATCCCAATTTTTGACGTTGTTTCTGAGTCATTATCATTGCATAAATAAACTACTTTTCTTTATTTTAATCAAAAATGTTGCACTCTTATAAAAAAATATCTTAAGTTTCTTTTTCCCACCATTTCGCCTCGTCGCTCGCGTTCTGATAATGTACTTTCCGAGCAGACACTGAACGCATCAACGTTTCGCCGGTATCGAGTCGTAAGAAAGTCGTCCATCACTTCCGTACAGGGACAAAACCACCACAAGTAACGAGGTAAAATGTCTTTTTAGTGCTGTTTTTAAGCTTCGTTTCCTCTAGACATTTATTTTAAATATATATATAAATATATCAGACGATAATCTGCTCAGCAAGAAGACCATTTGTCTGTAGCTCCGAGCTGCAACTCGGAGAAAAAAATAAAAAATTACCCCTAAATTCTCAGCAAAAAGACGCCGGTTTGTAAATATTTTACCACGAATAAGAATGACCTTACATTTCCTAAATAAATAGTTATAAATTAGCATTTGTAGCCTGTGTTGGCTAGCTTTGAGTGCTACCCACGTACTTCCGCATTGGTGCCAGTCCGCCCAGTTCAGGTTGCAGCTTGTTAACCTGCAGTGTGTGTTTCTGTCATTCACTCTTTCAGGTGTTTCAGACAACGAGGAAGAAGTTACACAAGGACTTGTGTACTTTTACTATTAATCTGAGTGAATAAATAGCTGGTTAAACATAAAGACGCTTCACTGAAGAAAGTTTTGATCATGTATCTGTAAAAAAAATGCAACTTAAAATGACAGAAATCCCCATTTTTGTACCCACTTTTCACGTTTTTTAATTGATTAGTTATGTTTTTTTTTATTATTATCTGTTAGCAAAATATCATGACCCACCAGATGGGCTTTGATGAAACTCTGAAAGTAATTAATGGAGCTCAGCAGTCTTCGCAAACACAAAAACGGCCTCGTAACTCGACTTAACTTCGCAGCGATCGTAGTAAAACCGATTTTGGTAGTAGCTGAGAGTTATCCCCAACACGTAATCTGAGCACAGCTGATCACGGGAGATCCTAAAGTAGGTGTGCTTTTACTGAATTAGTGTATTCGCATTAACATGTTTGCTTTTTTGTTTTGTCCTCCAGCAACAATGAACGTGTCGCATGAAATCAGCTTGCTCGTGGAGGAGATTCAGAGACTCGGCAGTAAAAGTGAGTCGAGACCGGGATGTTCCACAAGTCATGTGATGCCCATCAGCAGTCCGACGTTAGCTCGCTACCTCATCTTTGCAAACATTACTATTAAGAACATGTCACTCTGCCACAAAAATCATCAAGTTATTCTAACTTTGCACGTTTCACCACTCAAAGTCTTAATTTGCTTTAGGCTGACATAAAAACGCTTCTGTAATTTATCTTACTTGGTTACTTTAAGATTTTTAGCAAATTGAACTGCTTAAAATAAAACGCTAAACTTCATTTTTTGCTTCAAAATAACATAAAGACATTAAAGCTCTACTGATTTCCTTAATCTCCTTTATGTGTTGTGAATAATTAGCTTTTACCTTCTTAACAAATCTGCTCTGGTGTTTTTTTTTCCCCCCCAGACTCTGATGGTCAGACCATTGTGAAGTTCGGCGTTTTATTTAACGATGACCGCTGCGCCAACATCTTCGAGGCGTTGGTGGGCACTCTGAAGGCCGCCAAGAAGAGGAAGGTGATCGACTTCCAGAGCGAGCTGCTTCTGCAGGGCGTCCATGACAACGTTGAGATTGTTCTGCTGTAGGAATGAACCCAGACATTTGGTTCGGATCTTTTTTCCTGAGCGAATCCTTTAAAAAAAAAAAAAAAACGTACGGCGCTCCTGCAGTGTCTGAGCTTTTGCATTATTTGTTTTTGTCCTCCATTTACAGATCACGATATTTAAAGGCGCGCATTGCAAATTGTGAAATAAAACATAAAGTAGGTTATGCTGAACTAAATTTAATTGTGCAGTTTGAAAGTTTACTCCTGTAAGTCTCCAGATGTGGGTATGCACTCAGTGTAAACAAAGCACTTAAGTCAAATGATAGACCTCCTTTAAGATTGCTGTCGTCTGTAGGTAAACAAATAATGCAGAATCTGACTTTTTCATGTCTTTGTCATCGCTGACCTCTTTTCAGTCACTTGGGCTGTTTCCGTAGGTATAACAATCACTCGTGGTAGTTTGTATCTGGTCACAAATTTCACTTGCTAGTTCTTAATTTAAGGACACACCAGTCATCAATGTGAGACAGAAACGACAAACATTACTGTTTTCCTTTTTTAACCAGTCTTTGGGACTTTGCAATGAGTACCTTTAAACTGAATCTCAATAACTACATGTAGACCTGACTGCGTCGGGTTTCAAATTGAACGTGTCAATGTTAAGGACTTGTGGGTTTTAGAGGGCGTTAAAAGTCATCTTTACCCCTAAGAGCACAAGAGTGATAAAGAAAGCAAACCCAAAATGATAGATTTCATCCTTCTAGTTTTTCAATATTAAGTTAAACTAGAAAGTTCCTGGAGAAACTTTGATTTGACAGTACTGTGTGTTGGGGTTCGCTCTCAGCTACCGATTTCAGCCGAATAACTCCTTTTAGCTAAGGCGGCCATCTTAGATTTTTGATTTGCATTAGGAATGTATAACAACTCGCTCTCAGCTACAACCATACTAAATTTCAGCTCAATATCTCAAAGAAAAAACGAGTTATAGTCAATTTTGTGTTTGCTGAGGTAGCTGTGGCAGCCATCTTGAATCAAAATAGCTCCAAACATTAATTATTTCTAGAGAAACATCTGATGATTACTTTGTGTGAGTTTCAAACAAATCCTACAGTGACTTTCCGAGTTTTCTTCAGGGAGCTCTCCACTCTAAGCCATGTGTTCCGTCAGGCATTTTGTATGGGAAAAATGGAGTATTTGCAATTTATGTCGCCATGGTAACTCAAAACGCCAATAATAGTAAGACGCATAACGGCGCCGAGCCGGTCGTTTTGATAAAACATTCATGGGGGTACGCTTTGCGGTTCGAGCCGCATTGATGTGAACGGAATATTGATATGTAAATAAAGTTAAGAAACCCTAATTCAGGTGGATAATAAAAGGTGGCTGCCATTCTACAATACTGCAAAATCTGGCAGTCCCCAAAAAGTTTAGGATTTGTGCAAATTAAGGAGCTAGTTCTCCAGAGAATTTACAACGAGCTCATGCGATTGTATAACTTTTTATTTTCGCTTCACGCTAAATCTGCCACTATTCGTCTCTGGAGACGCTTCCGCTGCATTACATTTTTTTCGCACAAAAATCTGTTGGAAAAGCCCCGAGATGGCGTCGTTTTTGTCTCGGGCGCTGCCATCTTATCAGCTGCGAGCATCGTTTTTCTACAAAGTAGACGCTCAAAGCGAGAATGTGATGTTCTGTCCGTTTTTGTTTTTTTTTGTGTTTTGCCTTCTTTGCCTCTGATAAAATTAGTAGATATAAACCATATGCCTTTTATGATGGTTTGAATGTTAGGGAAAGTGTTTCACAGCACCTTGAGCAAACTTTTTTTACACTTTTAATGGGGGCTCTTAGTAGTAATAGCTGTGAGAGGTTCCTCAAAGGTAGTTATTTTCTAAATATGAGGAATTATAATGAATATTGTTTTAAAAAAAAAAAAGAAAAAAGTAATGAATTTGTGGTATGATTAGCAGCGTTTTCACATTTACCGTCACCAAAATGTCTGTTCAACTCGATGTTTACACAATCCACGTTGACTACCTCTTGTGGACTTTATTCGAACTTTTGGAAATCCTTTACTAGAACTGGTGGCCACAAAAGTGCATTTTAAAAACAGCTGCTGCTTTTTGTGCTAAAGATGTTTTTATTCCGAGTTTTCACCCGTCATCTCCGTCCAACCAACTTGAAAACGGTGAATGTGATTAAGGTTTGATTGGTGGTAACTGAATATTGTAACTCTCAGGACCAAATGTGCAAAACCAAAACGTGTGTAACGTCTTGTGGCTTTATTTCATGTTGTGCATTGAACTGTTCTGTATTTTTTTAAGGATCAGGCGCGACTTCCAAACCACAAAAACCTGAAAGCTTTTTTCAGTATGAATAAAACCGGAGAGTCCGGTACTTTGTGTTGTCGTCACCACAATCCTGCTGTGGCTCTGAGGTGGGTCTCAGATGAACCTGGATGAAAATTACAAAGTTAGATCAAAGCGCTGGGCCGATACCTTAAATTATGTCTTAAGGATGTTTAAATTATGTGTTCAAGTGCATCGTTACTGTATTTTATATGGGGAAGAACAGGTTTTTATAGAAACTGATGGTTCTACTGTGGAAAACAACCGGAATGAATAAAACTACACTTGAAGCCTTGAAAAACAGTTTGTTTTTATTTGCCTCAAATTACAAAGTCTCTACCTCAACGTGTAGCTTGTAAGTTTACATCAAATTACAGGTGAATATTACAATAAATGTAAGAAACAGCCTTATTATTACTTTGTTTTGTAGTTTTATTTTAAACTGGCTCTCCATGTGCCTCTACTATTGAATCCAATTGTAATAAACGCATATTTTTTCTGTAATAAGTAGTTAAAAAAACAACACCATGTACGGAAGAACATTGTTGACACACCAAAAAAAAAGTGAAAAGTTTATTAGCTGGACAACATAACATGCAGGTGCTGGTCATAAAAATAGAACATCATGAAAAAGTTGATTTATTACAGTAATTCCATTCAAAAAGTGAAACTTGTATTTTATATTCATTCATTATACACAGAATATTTCAAATGTTTATTTTAATGTTGATGATTATAAGTGACAACTAATGAAAACCCCAAATTCAGTATCTCAGAAAATTAGAACATTACATAAGACCAATAACATTTTTTTTTTTTTTAGAAATGTTGGCAAACTGAAAAGTATGAACATGTGCAGTACTCAATACTTAGTTGTTGCGCCTTTTGTCTGGATTACTGCAGCAATGCGGCGTGGCATGGAGCTGATCAGTCCGTGGCACTGCTCAGGTGTTATGAGAGTCCAGGTTGCTCTGATAGTGGCCTTCAGCTCTTCTGAATTGTCGGGTCTGGCGTATTTAATCTTCCTCTTCACAAAACCACATAGATTTACTATGGGGTTAAGGTCAGGCGAGTTTGCTGGCCAGTTAAGAACAGGGATACCATGGTCCTTCAATCAGATACTGGTAACTTTGTGCAGGTGCCAAGTCCTGTTGAAAAATTAAATCTGCATCTCCATAAAGTTGGTCAGCAGCAGGAAGCATGAGGTGCTCTAAAACTTCCTGGTAGACGGCTGTGTCGACCTTGGACCTCAGAAAACACAGTGGACCAACACCAGTAGATGACATGGCACCCCAAACCATCACTGACTGTGAAAACTTGACACTGGACCTCAAGCAACATGGATTCTGTGCCTCTCTTCCTCCAGACTGGAACTTTGATTTCCAAAGGAAATGCAAAAATTTCTTTCATTAGAGAACCTAACTTTGGACCACTCAGCAGCAGTCTCAGGCGAGACACTTCTGACACTGTCTCTTGTTCAAGAGTGGCTTGACACAAGGAATGCGACAGCTGAAACCCATGTCTTGCATATGTCCATGCGTGGTGGTTCTTGAAGCACTGACTCCAGCTGCAGTCCACTCTTTGTGAATATCCCCCACATTTTGGAATGGGTTTTGTTTCACCATCCTCACCAGGGTGTGGTTATCCCCACCGCTTCTACACTTTTTTCTACCACATCTTTTCCTATCCTTCGCATCTCTATTAATGCGCTTGGACACAGAGCTCTGTGAACAGCCAGCCTCTTTAGCAATGACCTTTTGTGTCTTGCCCTCCTTGTGCAAGGTGTCATTGGTCGTCTTTTGGACAACTGTCAAGTCAGCAGTCTTCCCCATGATTGTGTAGCCTACAGAACTGACTGAGATACGATTTAAAGGCTTTTGAAGGTGTTTTGACTTAATTAGATGTTAATTAGCTGTGTGGCACCAGGTCTCTTCAGTATTTAACTTTTTCACACTATTCTAATTTTCTGAGATACTGAATTTGGGGTTTTCATTAGTTGTCAAATATAAGCATCAACAGAAATAAACATTTGAAATAGATCCGTCTGTGTGTAATGAATGCATATAATAGATAAGTTTCACTTTTTGATTGGGATTACTGAAATAAATAAACTTTTTCATTATATTCTAATTTTATGACCAGCACCTGTCTTTGAACAGTGATTAGCCATATGAAAAGCATTTATTTGTGACAGTCCCAAGACTAGATAAATGGTGAGGGTTGCGTCATAGATTCAGGTTGTAAATCTATGAATGCCTTACCTGCTCTATAAAAGGACTGGGTTAAAAACAACCCCCTTTGGTGCAGTTAACTAAGGAGTTTGTAGTGACCGCTGATAAAGGAGCAGCTGAAAGACAAAGGAATAGATCATTACATAATTATGTTATTAAAAGATTTAAAAAAATGATGTTGTGATAATGGAATTTTATATATGTGATCAGTTATATTGTCATAATGCAAAAGCATTGTGTTACAATGTCAAAAATAAAATTAATTTTCACATTTTAATATGCATATATTTTTGTTTGAATGGCAACAAAACAACTGTGGGTTGTAAAAACAACAACAAAAAAATCAACTTTATCGTCTTCCAATTAAATTTATATTATTTACACAATTAAAAAAATTATGTGTGTAAAAAAAAAAACATTTGTGTCATGTTTGTAATACCAGTATCCCACACGCTACGGCAAGACCATGAACGCAGCACGTGGTTGACGCCACACGCAGGAGGCGGAGCCATGTGACGTCAGGGGGTGGAAGAAAACAGCAGAGCAGGAATCAAAACAAGAGACGGGCACGCCTTCGTTCTTAAAGGTTATAGCAGCTTATTCCTCAAACCAGCTGCAAAAATAAAAAGGGGAAGAAGAAAAAAACGAATTGTGTCGTTCGAAAGAATAGCAAAAACACAAAAAGAACCAGAAAAGGCGCCGTGAACGCACCACCGAAAAGTCCACTGCAGAAATGGAGTCCAAAGAAATGCCAGACAGCGCTGACAGGAGCCGCTGATAGAGGTCGAAATCGACGCCGACGGTCGTCCGAACCGAGTAAAATGCCCAACCAGAAGAACAGCAAGGGGAAGAAGAGCAAACGCACGAACAGCAGCGGAGACGAGCAGGAAAATGGAGCGTGCGCGGCGGCGGCGGCAGCAGCGGGAGGCGCGGCAGCGGCCGCCGCAGCACCCAGGACGGAGCGCTGCTCCTCCGGCGGTAAGAGCCGTGGAGAAGTTTGGAGAGGCAGCCGAATCCTTCCGGGACCAAACCCCGGCTGCTCTGTGTTGCACACATGCACACGTTCGTAGTCGTGCTCTCAGGAGCCTAAAACAAATAAACCCTCCATTAAGACGCAAACACACGCGCAGAGGTCCCGTTTAAGGCCTAGCATAAACAGATGCAGTTTGTGAATCAGTAGATGTGGCTCCGCTAAAACCTCAGCCGGCTGCAGAGATTTTAAAACCAGGTCCAGTTTGCTTCGGTCCAGGAAGATGGAGGATCTGGTCTGCGTTTGTTTACAATCGATAGCTGCACTTAACATTGGCCCTTCCTGGTGCACAACTCGACCTCACGCGGGGTTAGCGCGTGGCCGCATACCTGAGCACACCTGGATCCAGAAGTCCAGAGCAGGTCATCCTGGAGACCCGGAAACAAAACAAACTTCTCCCCTCAAGCATAGGGCAGTGGAAACAAGCTAACAACTGAGCTGATAAAGCTAAAAGCAAAACACCAGCTAAAGAAGCTAAGCTCGAGCTAAAAGCCAAAAGTGTAGCTAAAAGTTAAAAGCATGACTTAAAGCTGAAGATAATGAAAGGCTAGCTAAAAGCTAACCACTAAAAAGCACTAGCTAAAACCTAAGATTAGCAAAACATTTGCTAGCTAACTTCTTTAAATACCTAAAAGAAGCAAAAGTATCACTAAAATCTAAAAGTAGTAATAGGTTAGTCATAAACTAAAACCAACAAAAAGCTGTTCAAAATAAACAAAAGGGTTTAACGCTGCAAAACGCTAGCTAAAGGTATCAAAAGGCTAGCTAAAAGTAACAACAGCCTAGCTAAAATAGTAAAGGTCTAGCTATATGCTAAAGTTTCAAAAGGCTAGCTAAAACCCCAACGCAGGAAAAGTCTAGCCATAAGCCAAAAGTAGCAGAAGGCTAGCTAAAACCCCAAAATGGCAAAAGGATAGTGAAGTGTTAAAAGCTAAAAGGTGAAAGCAAAAGAGTGGTTAAGTGTTAAAAGTAGCAGAATGGCAACTAAAACTAAAAGCCATTTAAAACCTGAAAGTACCAAAAGGCTCTCCCATTATCTTCACCTGCTTCTTTCTTATCAGGTCTCGAGGGTCCCTGGTGCCCATATCCAGCAGGGACACACTGGACTGGTCTCCAGTCCATCACAGGGACACATAGAGACAACCATTCACTCACTCGTCTAGGGACAGTTTAAAGTTACCAATCAGCCTAACATGCATGTTTTTGGTCTGTGGGAGGAAACCAGAGTACCCGGAGAGAACATGCAAACCACCCAGAAAAGTCCCGGGCTGGGATTTGAACTGGCGACCTTCTCGCTAAGCGGCAACAGCTCTACCAACTGCGCCACCGTGCCGCCAGTCAAACATTTTAAAATGTATAAAAGTTACAAAAGAATCGCAGCATCCGTCTTCTAAACGAGCGACTGAAATAACACCAAGTACAAACGGAGAATAAAGTGAATGCTGAATCAACGTGCACACCGTTAAATGAAACAGAAGTAAACATAGTGCACGTGAGCATGCATCAGGATATAGCGCACGCTAACTTCCAAATAACTCCCTGGAATAAACTGACGACTTCCATTGAATTCAGTTAAATTTGAGCCAATTTGTTAAACTCGTAAGCTTTTAGCCACAGTTTTGATGAATCTAAGATGATTTGCTGCAGCACTGTGCAAAAGTTTCAAACAACCTCTTAATTTCTTTATTTGTTAAATGAACAGTGAAAAAAAAAAAAAAAAAAGTCAAGTTTTTAAAGAATAGAATAAAAAAAACAGAAAGAACTCGAGAGATGCCAAGTTTTCAGTTAGTTAATTACTTTTTAAGACTTTTGTTAAAATCCATCTGCAGGTTTGTGAGATATTTTGCTAACAGATAGCCAAATGACCACGCACATGCAGGTAAATACATGATCGCCCCCACCAAAGTGCTTACTTTGACGAGACATTCTTACATAAAGCATCCTCTAAAATAGATCAGACGTGGACAATATATATAAAGTGGACCTTGGACAATCTCCATCCGGACCCCAAAATTCTTAATTAAAAAGGAAACGATGTTTTAAAAAGGTTGATGAAAGCCTGGACTTTATCTGACACTAATTTAAATTAAACATCTCGGACAAATATATCAAAAATGTTTTGATTAAGGCTAAAACTTTTTTTTTTAATATATATTTTTAAGATTTTCTCTTTTATAATTAAACTGAACCTTAAAGACTTCAAAAAGCAAACATGTTCTTTCAGACCCGTTTGTTTTTTTTTTACATTATTTTTCATAATATTTGTCACAACAGCCAGTTTACAGAAAGTACGGTGTCTGATCAATGCACGTCTATCTTGGGGGTGTGTTCTCATGACTCAGTGAGAGTACGGGACCTCATTGGTCATGAGGGTGACTTATGGTCACATGGCAACAGAGTGGGATTGTGGGTATTTAGTAACAACATTGGAACCATGAGCAAGAGGTACTGTCATTCTCCGATCTGTTACGGACGCACGATCCATAGTGTACTGACGGGTCGCCGTTGTTTATGAATAAAAACTGTCTTGATTTACTTAGAAAAGTACGTGCTCTATCTTCACTGATCTTCATGTAGCTAATTTAAGCCACTTATATTTTCATTATAAATCATTGGTTAAGATGATATGTTACACCTGACCCAGCCAGGGCTGAATGAGAAACAACCCAGCAAGATACAGAATTATTTCCATGTTGAAACAGCGCCGCCCACTGGTGAAGCTGCATATCATTTTAACCATGACGTAAACGTGTCAATGATTTTAACGGAAATACGAGTGGCGTAAATTAGCAACATGAAAATCGGCGAAGATGGAGCACGTACTTTTCTAAGTAAATCAGCCGTACTTATTCATAAACGGGATTATACCAGTACATTTTCCTTAATCTAGCATATTGAACGGCGATCCGTGCGACCGGGAAGTATTCCTTTTAGCGCATGCGCAAATGAACTACGCTACGGATGGGGTTCCGCAACAGATTGGGTAACCGCAGGTACGTGTCATGAGTACCTGTGGCATTCACTCTGTCTCTGTCACAAAACTCCGCCCCCTAGAGGGGTGTGTGTTGGACACCTATATGAGCACCCAGGTGTGAAGTTTATTTATTTATTTTTTAGCACCTGCTGCACCTGTGTGCAGCCCACAGGTGCAGGGAGAATCTCCCTCCTGCAGCTTGTCATGATCTGCCACACCTGCAGCAGCTTTGTGAAGGGTTAACCCTTTGCTGTCGTGCTGCTCTTCTCTTCTCTTTTGTACTACTCTCTCTATTTCACAGTTTTTCACTTATCGTAGAGGGGCCTGGAACCTAACACCCGCGATAAACGAGGGACTACTGTATTCCTAAAGAGAATTGGGCGCACATATTTTATCTAACATGCTAACGATGCTACAAGAAGAAAAATCCTCTGTCTTAAAGAAAATGTATTTTCCAATTCTCTCTGCAACCTTTCAATTGCTTTAAATATCTTGATTTGGCCCTGTGGCATAAAAATGTTTCCTCCTGCTTTAAATGAATAAAAACAAATAAGACAACGATGCAGAATTTATAGTGAAAGTTGCCGTAAAACACTTCCTTAAACATCCAGGTCGTCAGAGTACGACGCTGGCGAGTTTTAAGCGGGACGACTTCTCTGCTCTTCATCAAACGTGTGTTTTTCTTTACTCTGTGGCGAGCTGCAAAGATACACTGTGCCGGAAAAGGAAGGAGGAAACACCCCCCGCCCGTCCACACACACACCCACCCAGTGTTATCATGAACAGAAAGTCGTCCGGCTTTAAACCGAGCTGTGAGCGGGCTCAGATGGCGCGGTGTAAACTCGTTAATAGATGCTTGTGACGAGCCTTAAATCACCGTTTGATCGTCCTCACCTCTTGTTCCGTTTGTAGCGATTTAGCTCATGATTATTAAAAATACACACGCGCCGAAGCTCAGCTGCTTCTTTAAATCCCCGCTGTGAGAAAACACCGTCTGCAACGTTTCTCTGCTGTTTTTAACAAATCCATTACTGGAACGCTGAAGCGCTTTTTTCTGCTCGGAACTAATGACGGAAAACCACGATAAAATCACCCGTTCATAAATGGCCCCGTCGGATAGAATCATCTACATTTATTATTAATGCCATAAATCATGTTGGTATTGTGTTTTTACCCATGTCTGTGTGCGTGTTTGTTAGCATGAACCACTGAACAGAAACCTCACAATGGGTTGTGCTCAGAGTATGTGTTGAGGGTGGTGCTCAGTTACTACCACTCCAAATTTTAGCAAATTTCCAGCCAAACTGGCTGAGCTGGAGCCATTTTTGTGTTTGCAGAGATGGCTTTGTTGCAGCGGCCATCTTGAATGAAGTTCTCTCCACGAGACGATCGGTTGTTTTCTGTTTTTTATTACAGTGATTAATGTTTAAAGTTTCATTAAATTCATTGATTCATTAGATTAGAGCTTCTTAACGGTACAAACAAACGGTGGTAAATATCACCCGAAACATTTCACTGCTCTTTGTATGGATTTGTTTTTGGAACGCTGACACGCCTTTTGGTCCTCCAACTAACGATCTTCTCGAATCCCCCGTCAGATGCTAAAAACGTCGAGCCCAAAACAAGACACACTTTTATTACTCAACAGACTCGAGATCGCTTCTGATCCGTGTCAGCTGAATTTCAGACATGAGTTTATGAACTAAATGTTTGGACTATCAGTCGAAATTAGGCCTGTCGCAATAAACAGCAAATCAATTAATCGCAAGATGAATGAAAATTATCGACCTCATTTTCATGTATCGGCTTTATCGTTTCTTCGTGTCTCTCTTTCTACTGAAGACACTCGATGACAAAAAGCTAAACTCCGGTGCTCTTCACTGACCCCTCCCTTTCTCTTTAAAATCAGTTTTAACGATCCAGAATCGTGTTTTTGGATCGTTAAAAGCAGCTAAGCTGAGAAGCTAAGCTATGAGCTAAGCTAACAGGCCGACCTCGGGAAGAAGCCTGTCTTGTCGAAGCTCCAAAATTCACGGTTGAAACTCGTGCCTTCTTGTAAAAAGTTGTTTTTCTCTGCAAGAAGAATTTGAGAACTTGTTTTTTGATTTTTTAAAATTAAATGCTTTTTGTGAAAAATGCTATGCTAAAGAGCACAAACCACACCGAGCGTTCGCCATTTTGAGAACCGAAGAGAGACAGCCCATGTCACGTCAAGGGGCCTCCCTCCCATTTTTCTTAAAGAGACACGCTGCTCGCTCCCTCACTATCCATCCTTTGGTTCAAACCGTTTTATACTGTCATCTGGTGTTTGAAAAAAGGTACTACACTCAGAACAAATTAGCCAACATTTCTTCTTAAATTTGACAATAATGACTAATTATTGTCAAATTTCAATATTATCGTTTATCGCAATTATTTCTGAGACAATTAATCGCCCAGCAAAATGTGTTACCGTGACAGGCCTGGTCAAAATCAGAATCAAGATGGCTGCCACTGCTAGTCAGCATTAGCCAACTCAGCCAGTTTTGCACATATAGAGATGAAGTGAAGCGTGGCGGTAGCTGGCAGACGTTCACAACACACGCAAATCAGATCAGGCAAAATATCAGTACGGTGTAATAATGATTCTGTTTTCCTCTCTTTTCGGTGCTGGTTCAGAGGTCCAGTGTGCCACCCCGCTGGGCTGCAGCCTGAGCCGCTCCGTCGACCTGGAGAAGGACGACCACCAGCGGGTGCTCTGCAACAACGAGCTCTGCCCGTACGGCAACTGGATGCACCTGCAGTGCTTCTACGAGTGGGAGAGCTCCATCCTCGTCCAGTTCAACTGCATCGGCCGCGCCCGCTCCTGGAACGAGAAGCAGTGCCGGCAGAACATGTGGACCAAGAAGGGCTACGACCTGGCCTTCAGGTTCTGCTCCTGCCGCTGCGGACAGGGTCACCTGAAGAAGGACACCGACTGGTACCAGGTGAAACGGATGCAGGACGAGCGGAAGAAGAAGCCGTCGGAGAGGAGTATGAGCCGGAGCGCGGCGAGCGGAGGGGCCGCCTGCTCCGGGGACGGACCTTTTGACGAGCCCAAGAAAAGCAAGCAAGTAGGAGGTAAATTAGCTCACCAGGCGTCCAGTCAGGACATGCCGCGCAGACAATCAGTGGACCGACAGAACTCTACAGAGAGAGGAGCTGCAGGAGGAGGACTCTCCCCGCTCGGGCCTCCTCAGAAATCTCCATGCGTCTCTCCAGGACAATCTCCTCCCACCGGTTTCACCTTCTCTCCCATTCCTGCTCCGGCATTAGCAGGTCTTCGTGGTTCCCGTCAGCTGGGTGAGTTCTTTAAATCAGCCGTGCACTCGGACCCGCAGAGGAAATACCTTCTGGCCGGGGGGGCTCTGAGTCGGGGAGGTGGCTGCTCCCTGGGAGGAGGAGGTACCGGCGGTGCAGCTGGCGGTCCTCACCTGGACCCCAGTTCCGTTCTTCCCCTGCAGCTCTCCTTCGCCCTTCACCACCGCATCACCCCTGGGGGCGGAGGTGACGGCCCCCACCCTCACCCGGTGCAGTTCCTGAGGAGGCTGGACCTCTCGGAGCTCCTCACCCACGTCCCACGCCATAAACTCAACACTTACCACGTTCGCATGGAGGACGACGCCCAGGTGGGGCAGGGGGAGGAGCTGCGCAGGTAGGCCTTCTGGGAAAATAATCTGAATTAGATTATAGAAATATTTAAAACAATCAAAGAAAAATGAGGGCTGGCACTTCTTAAAAGAGCCCATATCCCCCGCCGCCGCTCATACCAGAGGTTTAAACCAGGTTTTGGTCAAACGTCATCATCAAGAATCTCGTGATCTGTTGAGAATGACTCTCAGCTACTACCACACCAAACTTCAGCTCGGTGTCTAAACCAGTCTGAGTTGTAGCCATTTTTAAATTAGCTACTGTTGATTACCTGTGGCAGCCTTCTTGAACTGGGTTAGCTCTGAATGCTAATGAGTTTTACCCGTACAGCAGATGATCCCTTTAGGAGGTTCACCAAAATCTGAATAGTGCGTAATGAGATATTTTGCTAACAGACGAATGGGGTTGACGCATTTATTATTGCAATGATGTAGTGCAACGTGTAGTTTGTGTTGGTGATTATCATCAGCTACTACCACACCAGATCTTAGCTCAACGTCTGTAAATACGGCTTGACTAAAAAGCCGTTGGTGTTTTCTAAAGGAAGTTAGCTGAGGCGGCCATTTTAATTTGGAATTAATCCAAAAGTTACTTACTTGTAGATTTACATCTGATCCGACATTTACTTTCCGAAAGTTTTAATTAAATTCCATAAAGTGGTTCACGAGATATTTTTCAAGAAATGAAAGCGACGTCGGATTAGATGACTGTTGAACAACTTAAAAAAAAATTGGCTGAAATGTTTTCACCAAACAGTTTTTATTTTGTTTGTGAAGTTAAAAGGTCCAACCTTCAGTTTTTATCATTTCTTTGAATGCTCATCAGAGTTTTCCATTATCTTTTAATCTAATAGTGTGGATGTTTACGAAGCATTCACACTATTGTGATCCATTTTCCTTCTGTCCGTTTTTCAGCATCTTTCTCGTTCCACAAGTTTTGTGTTGTTTCAACAAATCAAAAAGTTCAGCTGTTTCAGGACAACCTGCTATGACTTTTGGTGTTGGTTCAACTTTAGCTTTTTTAAATATTTAGCATTTTCTGCCATTTTTTTCCTCACAGAAAATGAATCGAGCTCATTTTACATCCTTCATATCTTTAGATGTGTTCACAACCTTTTACTGCTCCTTTCACATTTTGTTCTGCTTCAGCTTCTTTGTGCAATTTTACTTTTTTCAGCTACTTTCAGCTGTTTTTTTCAGATGTTCTTTTCTCCTTTCCGATTCATTCTGTTAATTTCAGCATATTATGCTCCTTTCAGGTTATTTCTGCAAGTTTCAGCTTTTTCTGCTACCATTTAGCTCTTTTTATGCTAATTTAATTTTTTTCAGCTAATTCCACATTTTTTGCACTCATTTGAACTTTTTTCTGCTTAATTCAGTAAAAATGTGCTCTCTCCACTTCCTTCTTGTAATTTCACCTTCTTTCTGGCTTTTTAGCTACTTTTCAGCTGTGTTTTTGCTAATTGCAGCTGTTTTCAGATAATTTCCACTTTTTGTGCTAATTTTTTTCTTCCTTCGTCCTAATTAACTTCTTTCTGCTCCTTTCAGCTTTTTTTCTGCTAGGTTAGGCTTTTTCTGCTATTTCAGCTAATTTTTAGCTGTTTTGTGCTAAATGTAGCTTTTTCAGCTAATTCCACTTGTTTTTTTTTAGCTCATTTCAGCTCCTTCCACTTCCTTCTGCTAGTTTAAGCTTCTTTCTGCCTTTTCAGCTTTTTAAACTAATTTCCTTATTTAATTTTTGTGTTCATTTCTGCTTATTTAAACCTAATTCAACAAATGTGTTTCTGCTTTCTTCTGCTAATATAGGGCTGTTCTTCCATTTCAGCTACATTTCAGGATGTTTTAGCTAATTTCAGCTGTTTTTCAGCAAGTTCTTCAGCAATAAGCATTCACAATGCATTTTTGCAGGAAATAAAATTTCTCTTGTTACTTAATAATTTAATTTTTAATTTAGAACTTGTTCCATTATTGTTCAAACTGCAGTTTATTTATTTGCAATTTAGCAGATATTTTGTGTTTCTGCTGTGAGAATAAAAAATAACACTGTTGTTGCTTGACTTTGCAGATTTCTGTCTGATTTAATATAAAAAAAAAACTAAGAAAATTAATATTTTTCAAATTTAATCATAATATTCAAAAGGGAGGAGACTAATAAAGTCAAAATGATCCAGAAACACTTTCTTTTCCTTTTTCATGCAGCAATAAAAACTTGTATTACTTTTACTGAGAACATGCACAAACATTAAAAAGGGAATTAAGTGAGAATATCCGAGTAAAGTGATTATCATGAATGATTCTTCTTCTGAATTTCCTGCAGGTTCATCCTGTCTGCTCTCAGCGCGAGTCAGAGGAACGTGGTGAACTGTTCGCTTTGCCACCGCTCGCTGCCCGTCTTCGAACAGTTCCCCCTGGTGGACGGGACGTTGTTCCTGAGCCCCTCACGCCACGACGAGATCGAGTACGACGTCCCCTGCCACCTTCAAGGTCAGCTTTTAAAAGAACGTGTCGCAGCGTGAAGCTAAATGTTGGAAGCCATCGCCCGCTGTCTTTCATGCCCGAGCTTTACGCTGAAATCACTGTATGTTGACAAATAACGGACATTTTCCTTAAATCTTAAGAAGAACATTAAACGCAGTCTTGTGTGACCATGCACCATCTGTTAGCGCTCGGACTGTGTGTTATGAATGACTCTAAGCTACTACCACGCCGAATTTTAGCTCAATATCTGTAAACTTCCCTGAGATATGGCTGATTTTGTGTGGCTAAGGTCGATAAACTGTGACTGAAAAGGTTCACTAGTTGTCCACGTGCACCCAAGAGTACAGGCAGTTGCATGAACATGATCACCTCCACCTTTGCCTTTAGCAAACTTGTGATGCAGCTGTACACATGTTCATTATTATTATTTTTAAAAAGGAATGTAATCCAGCATGTTCGCCGTCTGTTGTTATTAAGGTGCATTTCTCACACAAATATCTTTAATTTTGAATTAAATCCAACGAGTTGGCAGTAAATGTAAAGAACCTGCGTTTAAAGGCGTCTGTCAGTTTTCAGAAATGGCTCCGACGTCGTTTTGGTTTATCTTGCATTAAAAACCTGCAAGCATTTTTTTTTTAGATTAATGGTCTAAAGTGGGATCTTCAGGTCCGTTTGGTGTGTTAGGATCTTATATTGCCCACAGCCGAAAGGCGGGGGATACTGTAATGTAAATTACCCGTAACTCTAGCTGTTCATTTCGCTGCTGAGTTGGCAAGGATGGATTTTGAAACTTTTGAAAGTTCCTGAAACGTTTCTCCATCCTGCCTGGACTCTCTTCTTCTCCTCTTTAACACTCCCCATTTTCCTGGACAGTGGACCCCAAGTCCTTGAAGTCCTGACCTTTGTGACCTCTGCTCCTTGTAGCCTCACTGTTCCACCGGCCTCCCTCTCATTCACACACATGTACTTTGTCTTACTGCAGCTGACTTCATTCCTCTTCTTTCAAGTGCATACCTCCACCTCTCTAAGTTCTCTTCCACCTGTTCCCTGTTCTCACCACAGATCACAATGTCATCTGCAAACATCATAGTCTACGGGGATTCCTGCCTGACCTCATCTGTTAGTCCGTCTTTTGATGTACAACAAAAACTACATAATATATAGCATTATATTAATTATAATTAACTTTTGGAGTCAACTTGATTCAAAATACCTCGAGTTGACCAAATTAAGGATTCGAATTCAGTGAGTCGTACAGTTATTTGATTTAAAATTTAGTGTGGTAGTAGCTGAGAGTAATTTCCAAAACATGCTTTAAGCTCTAATAGAACAATCTGCAGTATTACATTAATCATGTAATCAGGTTATTTGAGCAGAAAGGTTCAAATTAACTTGTTCATTTCTTCGACGATTTCTGTTTTTTAAATTATTTATAAAACAGAGACGTCCTCGTCGTAAACACTGGGATCTTCGTTAGATGTGCTGTTTACTCTCAGATTCCAGATCAAGGTGTTCTTTTGATTTGCGTACCGGTATTTACAATATTAATAATAACAACTAGAGAAATAGCATTTCCTGCGAAAATGCAGTGT